ATAAACAAGCTCTACTAATACGTAACACCAAAAAAATCCAAGTTATTGTGGAGTTTAACTGGACATGAGATGTTGTGCTTAAGCTATGGAGGCTCGTAGACCAGATAAGAAGGCTTTACTGGTTTCATTCTAAAAGATGGGAACTCCCACCTATCCATGTTGATAAGACCCCTAACATGCTTAGGGAGAGAGGAGAAGGAGTTGAAGACATGGATCTCGACTGCACCATGGCTAAGAGATACAAGTTTGTCAGCAGGTTTATTTGCTTCTCTAAAGCAATGACTTATGTGATATCCATGATCTTCAACTACTTTCATAATTTCTTGGATCATATCTTTGATTCTCAGGGGGTCTCCGTTCTTTATTGGAGCAGTTTACCAGGAGCAAAGAATTAGTTTCCTCCCAGACATTTGTGAGACCTTTATCCGCACACCATTTAAGGCCATATAGTAATGGTGCTGCTTCAGCCATGTTGCTTGTGCCAGACCCTAGATTGATCGAGTAGGCAAAGATAGTATGACCAATAGAGTCTTGAATCAATCTTCCTCCTCCGCAAGAACCTTGAAGGCAGCTAGCCAGCTACCATCACTATTGAGTTTAAAAGTCCTAGCAGGAGGTTTAATCCATTTAACGAGATTGCTGATATGTTGGTGAATATTGGCATAAAAAATATTGGAAAGACTTTGCCATGTCTCCCCTATATTTGCTTTTCCAAACTTCCTCCTCGTGATCTGCAAAAGAGTGAATAAGATATTAACATTAGTTCTGTAAGGCGAGGGTTTAACTTTCTCAAACTTGTTAGCACATCTCGTCTTCCAAATTATACGAGGAGGTCTTGGATAATGAAGGACGCTATGAGGTTGTTGGTATGAGTGTTCCACCAGTTAAGTAAAAGAAGTTTTAGAGAATTCTAGATCAGTCTCACACCCAAAGAATTCACAATACTTCGCCAAATATTTTTTGCAAGGTTCCCTTTGCAGAAAAGATGATCGGCAGTTTCCCATATGTTGTTATCAGGGATATTCACACAACAGTAGCATCCAGGCTCAATGTTGATGCCTAGTTTTGCCACTTGATCCTCTGTTGAGAGTCTATTATAAACATCTCTCCAAGTAAGGAAATACATCTTAAAGGGGATGGCACAATTCCAAATCTTACTAGTAGAAATGTTGGAAGATCTTTTATTTTTTTATAATATTCCAAGCTGAGTGAAGAGTGAAGAGGCCATTATTAGACTCCCTCCAAATTGTTATATCATCCACATTGTTGTCTAGAGAAATTCCCAAGCTCGTAATCTTTTTTTTTACATCTTCAGAAAGATCTCCCTGAATAGAGTTCCAATTCCAGAAACTATTGTTATAAACTGTGTTAAGCTTGATCAAAATATCTCCTTCAATATCGGGTTGAATTAAATAAAAGAGTTCCTAAGCTTGACCAAGTGTCAAACCAAGAATCTATCTCTCATCTACCAATTTTCCAGAAAATGTGATTTTTTGTATCTGATTTGGCTTCACACATAGCTTTCCAGCCTTGTGAGTTGCTCGAGATCCATTTAGCTTTCACAGGGTGGTGGGTATGCAAGTATTTGGATTTAATGTAATCTCCCCAAAGAGATGTGGTGGTTCTTAAGTTCCACCACTGTTTTGACTTAAAGGCTCGACAGATGTTCGAGATTTTCCTAAAGTTAGCTCCACCTTCATTGTAGGGGTAGCTCAAGGTATCCCAAGCAATCCAATGATGTTTACCATAGGCTTCATTTCCTAACCAGAAAAACCTAGCAATGGTTTTCTCAATAAGCTCAAGTGTGCCTTTTGGAGGGTTAATATCACTCAGGTTATGAGTAGGGATGGCCATGAGAACATGTCTAATAAGAGTAGCTCTTCCACCGGTGGAAAGAAACTTTGTATGCCATCCTCTAACTTTGCTAGTCACTTTATTGACAATGTCAGAGTAATACGCTAGTTTCTTTTTACCAGTGATCAGAGGGCATCCCATTGGGGAATTTTTGAAATCTCATGCCAGTGTATCTTTTCGTTCTGTTAATGACAGAGAGGCTGACTTTGGATTTTAGGGAGAAGCTTCTTTTGTTCTTGTTGATGAGCTGCCCCAAAATCTTCTCATACCTGCTAAAAGTGCCAATAATCAGTTGGATAGAGTTTTTACTACTATTACAAAAGATAATAGTGTCATCTGCAAAGTTTAGATGATTAACCCTAGGAAAGTTATTATGATCATAGAAACCTTTGTAATTAGGAAGGTTATACAAGTTATTAAGCATCTGAGAAAGAAGTTCAGCACTCAGAATGAATAGGGAAGGGGACAAGGGGTCACCTTGTCTTAAGCCCCTAGAAGAGTGGAAAAAGCCATGTCTACTACCATTTATAACCACGGAATACCAATTATTAGATAGGAAGTTATAGGTGATGTCCACCCAATTTTCTGAGAATCCTAATTTCCTCAGAGCTAAGCAAAGGAAAGTCCAAGAAACTCTGTCATAGGCTTTCATCATATCAAGTTTCATAACTACATTGCCCCCTCTGTTAGTCTTACGAATACCACTAATGATCTCTTGAGCCAAAAGAATATTTTCAGTGATAGATCTGCCTTTAACAAAACCACTTTGATTTTTGGAGATGATTCTAGGGAGGATAGAAGCCAACTTATTGTTAAGGACCTTAGAGATAATTTTACTAGAAACATTACATAAGCTTATAAGCCTCAAATCTGAGAAGGATTGAGGCTGATCAACCTTAGGAATAAGGACTAAATATGTGTGAGTGTAAAATTTAGGAAGGATGTCACCTGAAAAGAAAGCAGAGACAACTCTATGGAGATCTGTAACAATGATATTCCAAGTGCTTTGGTAGAAGTGTCCACTTAGGCCATCTGGTCCTGGGGAACTGTCAGGGTCTATAGAGAAGACAGACTCTTTCAATTCTAGCATGGTAGGACGTGAAATGAGTTTGTCATTATCCTCATCTGTAATGCACCTGCGGAGAAGGTTAATAGGACCAAAATATGTATTAGTTAAATCATGTGTGAAAAGCTTTTGGTAGTATCTCACAGCCCCTTCAGTAATGTTATCATTTCCTTCTAGCCAATTATCATGATCATCCATAATTTTCTAAATATTGAGCTTTTTTTCTCATGTCTTTTATGATATTGTGGAAGTAAGCAGTGTTGGAGTCCCCTTTCACAAGCCATTTGATCCTCGCCTTCTGCCTGAGAATAGAGACTTGAAGTCTGAGGAACTTAATGAAAATAACTCTGAGTCTAGATAGTTCTTCCCTATTCTCTTCAGAGTTATTAGTCACACTATTCTCTTTCAAAATTCTCATTTGAGGTTCAAGTTTTTTGGGCTCTTCATAGATATCACCAAAAGCTTGTAAATATAATTAACTAATGCCAGTAAATATATTAACACTCTTTATTAATGTATATATTTATTACTGCTAAAAATATTTTTGTGTAGATAAAGTCACTTCTTATCAATATTGCAAAACAAACTAGTCTAAGCAAGTGTTGACTTTGTTTGTCTAGTTTAAAGAGCTTCAACCTTCAAGTATTATTCTTCAACAAGTGGCAACACATATATAGCCGCATATAAGTTACTTCCTCTGTCCTTTTTTCTATGTCACATTTTTACTTTGCGCTTGCATTAAGAAATGATGTAATTTTATCCTTCTACCCTTATTTAATGTTTTCTTAAGTCAACTTTATTAATAAATAATAAGATTAATTAACTACTCTATCAAGGGTATAATAGGCAAAATATGGTAATTTATGCATAAATTTTATAAAATGACCAATATTGTGGTCCAGCTATTTATAGAAAGGGATAACATATAAAAAGGGACAGATGGAGTACTTAAAAGTCAACATGAACTAATTGCAGGTAGGAATTTAGGGAGGAAAATAGGGCGGTGTGGGGTGGGGTCGGGTCAGGTTGAGCTTAATCCGTAAAATTCTTAATCCGTTCTGTCTTGCTCCGCATAATAACTTTTTTCATTTTCAACCCATATCTCACCCCGCCCCGCATAATTTTTTTTAATATATTATTTTTAGTGAATTTGATACTAAAAATAAAATTCATAAAACTAAATTCATTTTTTCATTAAGTTATATTAATTTAATAGAATAATGACTTAAAAATTATTTTTTAGAGGTCAATTGGAAACATGTAAGAAATTGCATTTTATTTTTTATTGAACCATTTTCATTTACTATCTCGAATATGTTAGTAGCTTTAAAGAAATTATCTTAATAAATATGCTCTATCACTCTAATTATAACATGTAAAAAGTTGAAATTAAATTTGAACTCAATCACATTTATCTGCAACCCGCCTCACATTAGTTTTAAAAAAAATTGCTTTAACCCACCCCGCACAGCCTTAAACCCTCTCCACCCTGCATAGCCTTAAACCCATCCCGCCCCGCCCCATTGCCATTCTATATAGGATATTTAGCCGAGAAAACTAGCATGTTTATAGTGGGATTCAAACCCATAACTCTAGCATGAAAAGCTTTTTCATGACCACTTCCTCACCATTAAGCTGTCACTCAATTTTGTTAGGACTTCACGAATTAATATACATATATATTTATTTAATTTTCTAGTACAAATACATAATCTATGAAAAACTACTGGATTCGTCCCAACCCACAAATCTCACCTAACTCTACCCGTACAAAAACTTTCCTACTAGAACAATTAGTGCAAGTGTATATGTCGAGCTGATCAGTTTAATTTGGGTATACTAAAATTCTAACTCAATTTTGTGCAGTAGCGGTAGAATTAATAAGTAATCGATTTAAACTTTTTGACAAGAATACTCAAAATATCTACATACCTTTGCTTGATATATATTTGCTCTACTTGGCAATGAGATGGCATAATTTGAATTTAGCATTTTAGCTCGGAAAAATCATGCAAGTTCTTGATATATTTGCTTTGAGAAAAAATAACATTTTTTATACAACAAGTTTTACAGGTGGAAAATGGGTTAGATTTTTGTGTGAAGAAAGATGAATTTTTTAAGGTTTTCTCTTATATTGATTTGAATCAAGGGGCAAGAAAAGAAAAGGTATCAAGGTATTTTTGGAGAAGAAGGAAAAAGAGGAGGCAAGAAAAAGAAGAGGAGAAAATTTCTGAAATAGCAAATATAATAGACATAATAAGGTTCTATAGCTATAATTTTGATAATTGCGTTTCATAGCTATAGTTTTGTTTGCTATGTAGACTGTGGTTTGTATATTTCTGTCTGTTTGTATATTTCGCTTGCGAATATACAAATAGGGTAATTTATTAGGAACTTTTCATAAATCGTATGCAAATAACTAGAGTAAAACATATACAAAATTCTAGATTTATACAATAAAATTATAGATTTATACAAAATCAGGCTAATTATACAAATCAAGTGAATACCAAGAATTGGGGAAACTTTAGCTGCGAACTACAATTTTCTTAAACTGTAGCTAGAGTACCTAATATAGGTTAAATATGCTATTTTGCGTAATTTTCCCAAAGAAGAAGGCAATCTTTTCTTATTTTAAAACTTTTCTGAATTCCTTTTTCTCACTTTTCTGTTAGCCGAGGGTATTTTTGAGCCTATTGGGTAACGGTGAGGGTAATTTTGCACCCAAAATCAAATAGAGAGTATATTTGCTCAATTTCTAATAATTTAAAGGTATTTTTGATCATTTTTCTTAAATATAAATAATTTAAAATAAAATCATTAATATGAGAAAATATAAATGAGGAGCAAAATGGAACTTTTTAAAAATAATTCTCTTCAATTTTTATATTTACTTATTTTGAACTATGAAAAAATGTTTAATGATTCACTTACTTTGAAATAAAAGGAGTATTTTGAACATGAAAACAAAATCCAATAATTCACTTAATATGAAATAAATGGAGTAATTAAAAAGGAATTCAACTTTAATCTACACCGTTGATTGACTATGACATCTAACGGTTCAAACTTCAAGCTCACGATCCGCGTCATCCAAAAGTAACCAATGAACAGCTAGCCCTGACTCATATATAATAAATCTCTTCATCTCTTTCATTTCACACAATTTAAACTCAAAAGCCCTCCATTTCTTACGGATTTATGAAATTCCCTTCGATGTCACCAAAGGCAGAGAAGAAACCGGTAGAGCTGCCGCCGGAGACAAGAAGAAGAAGAGGTCGAAGAAGTCAATCGAGACCTACAAGATCTATATCTTCAAGGTGTTGAAATCAGATAGACCATCCCACTTAGAATCTCCAAGAATGTCATCAAGAAACATAAATTGTAATTAATCAAGCATAGACATGTTTCTTGAAGAACACTTATTCCACAATTTTAGAAAAATAGGATTTCTTGGTTAAGAAGTTTATGGAAGAGAAGAGTGTGAGTTGTAGAGACACACTAGGATAAGGCTTTAAATAGGCTTTTTAAGAAAATGTTTGTTTAGTAGTATTGAGGACATGAATATATCTTTTGGGACAAGTGGAAGGAACAGGTACATGTGCATTGATTATATATTTAATTATGAATAATTGTAGTGCACATACCTTAGATCTCTGGAAAATGCTGAATTTTTGTTGATCACGACTATGTCCTCGTCATCCATATCAGATTCATCACTCTCAGTTGCCTTGAAAGAAAAAAAATCATATATTTGCTTCTTTTACTCATTTTTGTGTTATCAACATTCCTCTCATAAGTCTTTAGATTTCCTACAAGTTCATCCAAGCTCATAGTTGTCAAATCATTTGCTTCTCTAATTGCAGTGATCTTGATCTCCCACGACTTAGGTAGAGTCCTCAGCACTTTATCCACATGTTCCTCAGTAGTATATATCTTTCCCAAAGACACCAGCTCATTCACAATAGTAGTGAATCTAGTAATCATATCTTGAAGTGATTCACCACTCTCCATCTTAAATGCTTTATATTCTAGTCTAGCAATTCTAAATTTTCTTACTTGGGGAGTTCCTTCATGTGCATTAACTAGTGTGTCTCAAATTTTTTTCGTTGTAGTACAACTAGAGATGCGATTGAACTCGGTAGGTCCAAGTCCACATACAAGGATGCACTTAGCTTTAGCATTCTTTGTGAGCATTCTATAATCAGCTTCTTCATATTGAGCCTTGGGCTTTGGAATAACTTTCCCTTCATCATCCTTCATCATAGGAATAGAGGACCATCAGTAACTCTCATCCATAATTCATAGTCATGAGCTTGTATAAAATCCTCAATTCTCGCCTTTTACCATGCGTAGTAATGTCCATTAAATAGTGGTGGTATGTTGATGTGTTGACCTTCACTGTGTCCAAGAGGAGGTGCAGAATTCATAGTGATCTTATTTTGAGTTATTAGACTATACAAAATAACCTGCTCTGATACCAATTGTTGGAATTATGACACACTTTATTCTGTAAAGGAACACGTACTAACTACTTGTTATTTACTGTTTGTGAGTTCTAGTAAATTATTTCGTAAAATAATAATAAGTTCACAACTTTGTATTAATTATTTATCTCAACTCCAAACAACACAAAGATTACACACCTAGGTAATCTAAGGAATTATAAACTCTAATTCCTAGCTAAGAAATTATAAACTATAATTCCTAGCTACCCAAGACAAAAAAACCCCAGGTTTAAGTCTTATGCCGTCCGTCAAGTTTCTCAAACTTGTTAGACGAATCCTACACACACACTTGATTATCAAAATTCTTAACTACACTCTTACACCTTTTTCCTTACAAACTCGCAACACTCCCCAAGTAAATCTCAAAACTCTCTCCAACTCTTGATCGTGTTTTGATCTTCTCTCTATGTAAGTGTGCAATTTTCTCCGATGAAAATATTGCCCTATTTATAGATTTGAAATCCTCACAGTCTTCCTTCTTCAAGTTGAACTCGACTATCTTCTTTATTCTCCTTATTTGACTTGAGCTTGATTTCCTCATCTGATCATGCTTCCTACTTCATTCCAGATTTGAAACCACATTCACGTCATTATACTTCCTTCTTTGCTTATGCTTCCTACTTCATAAGGATTTATTTATGAAAGGAAACCTTTTAACACTGGTTTCTTGTCGAAAAAGCAACTCTTTCACCGCTTTATAACTTCTAATTCGCGTGGTTGACGTTCTCCTTATCCCAGTCGGATTCGGTCTGAAAGGAACATGTCGGCGCAACCGGCGATTCCTTTCATCTGTTCCTCTATTTGTCAATTATCAAAATCTTTCTCGATCTAACACAGGTTCATCCAGATATAGAGATTTCAAGCAAGTCCATGGGTATCATGAACAGCTTCATCAACGATATCTTTGAGAAGCTTGCTCAGGAATCTTCTAGGCTTGCTAGGTACAACAAAAAGCCCACCATCACTTCTCGGGAGATTCAGTCTGCTGTCCGATTGGTCCTTCCCGGTGAATTGGCTAAGCACGCCGTCTCTGAGGGTACCAAGGTGGTTACCAAATTCACTAGCTCTTAGATATGTGTTAGTTTTGTATTGATTTTTCTGTTGGGTTTATGATTTCAGTTAGCGTTTTGGAGATGTAAGGAACAGAAAAATTGAATCTAAAATAGATTTGATGAACTTGATGCTACTCTTGATAAGTGATATATGCTATAATTTTTACATGCAAGGGTATAAAAAAAAAGACAAAGCTGCTAAAAAGTTATAAATAGAGGATTGTTTGCTCAACTGGAGATGATAGTTATGAAAAGGAAAAACTATGGTGAAAAAACAAATGCTAATTAATAAGTATTACAGAGATAGTAATAGTATTAATAAGGCTAATACTACGACAACCTACCATCATGAACAAGAAAGTTAAAACTATCCGGAAGCTAACAAAATATTTATAATTCGTTTGGTATGGTTTAAAGGCTATATATCCACATAGCCAAATTCCCAATTTCAATTAGGAACTTAGGATTATAAATAAATTAGGCATTAATTAAAAGTTTAGAAATAGTTTGGTATTGTGCCTACCTGGGTAATAATACTAACTAATGCTGCAAAATTCCGAGAAACAGTTCCGTTCGAGAGAATGTTATTGAACCCAAATGTTAAAAGCCATGCAAAAAATTCTTTCTACGAATGAAGGGAAAACAGGAATCCGTATTGAACCTGTAAACTGTGCTCCCTCCTGTAAGCAAGGGCGCGGGAAAATGTGAATTTGGAGCTTGATGAATTTCGGCAAAGAAACAGTGAAGAAAGTATGTGAAATTTCTTATGGTTACAGCACAGAGGCTGTTAGAAAAATGGACGAATCATTAGAGTTAAAGGTCTCGAAAAACTTGTTGAGTACATGACGGATGATGAAACCCGTGCTGAGATGGCTTATTTCAGTGCAAAATTTCTTTCTTCCAATGTTAAAATTCTGTTGCGACAACAAGTGACTATTGAATTATTAGCTGTTAAAAATGGTGGATGTAACCAGTTAAATTAATAACAAAATGGTCATTCAGTTTTAGGGGTATTTTTCGTAATTCAACATATTTTCGTATATCGAGTCCTATGTATAAGAATATAAATTTGAAATAATAAAGTATCAATTTATGTGAATGATCACTACAATTAATGTGTTGTGTTTTTTCTTCTGATTTATTGGAGATATGTTATTGACTCATTTTTTGCACAAGTTGTTATACTCATTTGTCAAATTAGCATTAGAAGGTAGAAATAGTCCAAATGTTTGAATGATACAAGTTCATTAATAAATTCCAACGTTTTGTAAAAGTTGTTATATTTTATCCTTGCAGATCGATGTCTTTGAGTTAGACAGAACAAGTATAATTCCAAGTTTTCTAGTTTCAGTTAAAAGACAGTAGTGCAAGACATAGCAGGACAGTACTACAAACTGAAGAGGATTTGACGGAAGAACTACAAAGTGAACACTTTATACTAGTCATCTATGTCAAATATCAAAGAAATATATATTATCTGAAGGAAATGGCATTGTCAGATTGAAAAAAAAAATGCACGGCCATTACAGTTTCTCTCATTTCATGTTCCCACACCTGCACGTAATAGACAAGTATTTTACCCTCAGTTATGCGTAATTGAGTCACGCATGGCAGAACTAGGAGGCAGGGAATTTCCATTTACAAGGACTTGTTCGAGAAGATTAACTCGCACACAGGGCCGGCTCTATGTATAGTTTAATAAGGCATTGGCCTTAGGCCCCCAATTTTAGGGGGCCTCAATTTTTTACTAAGAATAAATTATGTGTTAATTTTTTATAGAAAAACATTGATTATTTATGATAAAAAGTATATATTTAAAATTATTATTTTATTCTCTTCAACCCCATTCAACTAGAAGAAATCAAGAAAATATTGTTTTATTTTCTTACACTCTCTCTACTAATACTCACATTATTTTCTTTTTAACTCCTTTTACACTCTTCTTTAAATTGTTGATAAATTAGAGTAATATTCTATCAAAAATATCATTTAATAGTCGAAAAGTGTTGAACAAATTGAATTGTAAATTCTTTTTCCATTTCTTCTTACATTTTCAAGCATTACAACAACCATAGTAAAATGTGGGGTAACCAAATTATCAACTTCATCAAAGCTATGGTTCTAACTCTTATATTTATTTGAAATTTGTCAACTTATTACTTGTAGAACTATGTTAACAATTCATATAATGCTTGCCCGTGTAAAATAATATTTTTCAACGTTGAATTAATAAAATCTTATTTAAAACTAATAATTGAAAAAGAAATCGAATAAATCATTTATATATAAAAAAAATATTAAGTAATACTTTGCATTTAAAAATGTAAGAAAAATAAATTTTAAATAAATGTATGTGAAGTTTATTTAGATTTTAGGCCTCTAATTAAGATTTCGTTTTAGGCCTCTGATTATGTTGAGCCGCCCCTGCCGGCACAGACTTGAATTGATAGCTCTGCAGTAAAAATAACAATATAATAATTAGTGAGGAGTGACAAAATTTGGCTGGCAGATTATTATAAATCACACGAGCAAGGCAAATGATTGACGATATCATTTTTCATCCAAGTACTCACATGCTAAAAGTAGCCACCTTAATTCATTTGGAAACTTGTTGGTGCTATTTAATTCAGATATAGCAAGAAATGACTTCATCTTTCTGTTTAAGGAAGACCGCTCTGCTTCCAATCAGTTATAACCAAGAAAAGGGCAGATTAACTCCCTATTGGTAGTAACTTGTCAATTTTACCATACTATTGACACCAAATTACCACTGCTAGAAGCTCAAGTGCACCCTGCCTTGACGTGTTATAAGGTGGAGTTGATACACAAAATAAAGGGATATAAACTAATAGAACACATCTAATATGTGGTGCTTACAGGGAAAAAAAAACATGATATAGAAAGAAAAATGATATTTGGAATAGCATTGCATCTGAAATACCACAGATACTATAACGAGTTTACCTTTCCTTCCCATTCAAAATCAACAAATTTGCAAATGGGATCCAATAGTGTGACCTGATCTCCTTGTTTAATCTGTCAAAAAGAGTAGTTTGTTAAGTAATGATGTGAAAATCTAGTTCCTATGTCATTTCTCACTTCTTTTCCTTTTTGTTTCTTTTTGTCCTTGCAGTATCAACTTTTCATAGAGCAGGCGTTTCCTAAAAGAAGCTTCGTTTATGTTATTTTCATCTTCTTATTTAACAAAGATCCTTAACAGCAGTAGTTGGAGAGGAAAGATCCTTTGCTTATTTTTTAGGCATGTAGTGCTGCAGCAGACTAACCTGTCAATATCTGAAATTTATTTGTTTGATTTTCTTGTCTCGGTTTCTCTTAGATACTCTACTTCACTAGACCATTTTTTCTAGGAAGTAAGATCTTAATGGATAAATGTTCCAAGAAACAATTAAACATCATAAAGTAGTGCTTACTGCTTCCTTCTGTATGCCGAACACTGTAAGTACAAAACTGTTCTCATCAGAGTGACAGAGCATATAGTATCTGTAGAATAAGAGTACACATTGAGAAATAAGTATTTAAGCATAAAGTAGGGCTGCATAGACAAGTATGACTTTCACTTTTAAAGGAAATGCTGATACTGATCAACTCGTGTGGGTTCCTCCAAGATGAAGTAACTTACAATGGGGCTTTATACTCATATTTAACTAAGCACCATACAGCTGCTATAACCTCAATCCGTTTGTTAAGGCCTTCAGTTAAGAGATCCATGGTTGCTCTGTTGTATGAAGGATTCACTGCCAGAAAGCACTCTATTACCTCAACTAGTAGATAAATAGCTGAATCATATACCTCATTGTTTACAGTTAAATATCTAAAAAGAATGTAAAGCCTTACAATCAATATTAGCAAGTGATTGGATCAGGGAAGACAAGCTTGTTTCCGTACTCTTTCCCTTACTCTTGTCTTTATGCTTACCCTGAAAAGCAGGATCACATAATTCAAATGCACTTCACAATCTCATTCATAATGTCTTAAAATCTTCAAAAGAAGAAAGTATCTAACAACTGAGAATCTTAAGGCATTATTTTTTAAAGACTCTATCATAACTTTCCTGTTCCTTGAAAAAAATCAAGAAATGAAAGAAGAAGAAACAATTAAAATGTTACCCCATGCACCATTCAGTCAATACAGGGCTATGCTCCTCCTCAGTTAACTCATTGAACAAATAAATTGGACTATTTGAAGGACACAAGATATGGTCAGTACCTCATCTCCTTTTCTTTATTGTGCATGAGTACCTTTTGCAACTATTTGTAGTGGTAAGCGGTGGCGGATCTAGGATTTTCATTAAGGGGGTTCCGAAAAAAAAGAGCAGTGCTTAAATTTGAGGTTTGAACCCCTCAACCACTAAATCAACCTCTAATTTTATATTCAGGAGGTTCAAAATCAATATATAAACATAAAAATTCTTAAAAATACCTTAAATATACAACGTAATTTTTTGCCGAGGGGGTTCCGAACCCCCTCGGTAGACTGTAGGTCCGCTCCTGGGTAAGGTCTGTACACTCTACCCTCCCCAGATCCCACTGTAGTAAGTGAAAAGGATTCAGAAAAAAATTCGCCTAGTAGGAGAAACTTTACAAAGCTTTCTGGGGTAGCCATAGTACAGTATTACTTAGACACCCAACTTGAATATTTCTATCCAAACAACTCTTAATTCCACATAATCTTAGCTGCATATTGCAGTTTCCTAGCCTCTACTTGTTTGGCAAATATTCCGAGAATCACTCAATCAACTGCACCTCAAACCTACACATTAAGACAATTTTAGAAATCATAGAAAAGCATGACTATCTTTTGGTGTTTTTCTGTCATACCACAAAACCAAATTTCATGTGATATCCGTCCTCCCTAGTACTTGTTACCTAAAGGTTGTCAGAGCAGAACTTTGTAGATAATGAATGGTTATCTCCGAAGCCATCTTAAAGGACTACCTCATCATACATTATAGTATAGTAGGAAACAGAAATTAAAGCTTTCTTTGGTAACTCTGATGATGAAATTAGCGATTAATTAGAGTTCCATACTAGTGACAGGTATGTGTGAATACATCAAAGCACTCCACTGTGCCATGTTGGGAGTTGGACAGGTCAGATGTGCAAT